GTGAGCTGCATGAATGTTTGCTGGCCTTGCTTTTGACTGTCTGGTCCACAGGTGGTGTTCCTCAGGAGTGGCGGAATGCCCAGCTGGTGCCAATCCCAAAGCGTGGAGATCTATCGCTCTGTGACAATTGGCGTGGGATCTCTCTTTTGGAGGTGGTGGGCAAGATGGCTGGTCGCTTGATACAGAACCGCCTTCAATCTAGGGCCGAGCATCTCCTCCCGGAGTCTCAGTGCGGATTTCGACCCAACCGTGGCTGTGCTGATGCTGTGTTTACTGTCCGGCAACTGGTGGAAAAGGCATACGAGCATCGTACAAAAATATTTTGTATCTTCGTGGACTTGAGAAAGGCATATGATTCTGTGCCTAGGGCTGCACTGTATCGTGCTCTTTCTGTCCTTGGTATTCCTCCGACTCTCCTCAAGGTCATTGAGTCATTTCATGATGGCATGGTGGCGGAGGTGCGTGTGCCTGGGGGTGTCACGGATGAAATTCGTGTGGAGAACGGCCTGAGGCAGGGGTGTGTAATGGCCCCAATCCTCTTTAACCTCTATCTGGCTCTGGTGGTTGAACGTTGGCGGTCTGTTCTCGCTGATCGTGACCCAGACATTGGCATCCAATTTCACTATCGCTTGGATGGCCAGTTATTCAACCCAGCACGACGAACCCGTACCTATCAGCAGACCGCTGTTGTTGATGTTGAGTATGCGGACGATGCAAACTTTGTAGTTGGTTCGCGGGAGCATGCTGTGTTGGCCTTGACGGCGTTCCAGGATGTTTCTGCTGAATTTGGCCTCACTGTGAGTATACCCAAGACCAAGTTTATGGTGGCTGGTGTTGGTGTTACTTCAGTTGACACTGCTGGCATTCCGCTTCATGGACAGGTGGTGGAAAATGTTTCCTCCTTCGTTTATCTGGGTTCTGTCATCACTCCGGATGCGCGTTCTGCAGGAGACGTTTCGAGGCGTTTGTCACTCGCCTCGCGTGCCTTTGGATCGCTCCAGGATGTGTTTGCTAATCGTGATCTTTCACTCCATGTGAAGCGCCGATTGTATAACGCCTGTGTGATGACAGTGCTACTGTATGCTTCGGAGTGCTGGTGCCCTTTGCAGGGTGACCTCCGGCGCCTCGATAGTTTCCACCGCCAATGCATCCGTGGCATCTTGTGTGTTTCGCGAACACAACAGTGGGAGGAACGCATCACCAATGAGCAGCTCCGAGAGATGTGGGGTGATCCATCGCTATTGTCCTCCCGGCTTCGGAAGCGGAGGCTTGAATGGCTTGGCCATGTGGCCCGCATGTCGGATGTTCGTGTGCCCAAGCAGCTGTTGTTTGGCTTCCTACCGTCGCCTCGGCCTGCGTGTGGTCCCCGTCGTCGCTGGAGGGATGTGATTTCGGCTGATCTTCGGCACATCGGCATTGAACATCTAGCTTGGTATGGGATTGCTCAGGATCGATCTGCCTGGCGGGTGTCTGCCGTTGGGCCGAGCCTCGGCGGTCCTTCCCATGACCAATCTCAACGGGTGGACTGTCTTATCTGCCACCGTTCGTTTCGTCGGCCAGGTGACAAAGCAAGACACAAGTGTACCGCAGAACGAAGTCTCCCCATCCAGGAACAGCGTGGTGCTGTGCAGTGTGGTACATGCAGGAGGTGGTTTCACTCTCGTGGTGGCTTGCGTGTACATCATTGTTTGCCCCTGGAACCATCGGAAGCGTCCGCGCCGGCATCACCTATTCCGCTCAACGTCCCAGCTTCTCTCTTGTGTGTGACATGCAATCGGCAGTTCAAGTCAGTGCCTGGTTTCAGACGTCACAAGTGCGACCGTGGCCATCGAGCAACCAAGTCTGATAGAGCGTCGTATGGTGTTCGCTGTTCTCGCTGCAGCCGTCAGTTCCGTCGACAGAGTGACCTGAGTCGTCATCTCCGTTTCTGCTCCTGACAATGACTCTGGCTCCTTTCGGAGTGGTGTGGCCCTTGTGGCAACCAAGCTACAGTAGTAGTAGTAGTAGTAGTGTGTGTGTGTGTGTGTGTGTGTTGTTATCGAATTCCTTCACACTCAAGCACCCAAATACGGCTCCACACACTCAAGCACCCAAATACGGCTTGTTTACAGGAGTCTAAAAGGAGAGTAAAGAAGATCCACAACAGCCAGCATGATGCCGCGAGGTTCATGCCCTCACCGTGCATCAAAGAACCATAGCAAAAATGGCGCACAGCATGATCAGACCACATGATCATGATCTGATCAGCGATTCAAAGCGAGTGAACATCTTCTTCTTTACTTATAAAGAAGAGGCACCTGTGACGTGTGTTTGTGTGTGTGTCACGCAGAAGCGCTGCGGAGCAACGCTGCCCTGAGCACGCGAAGCGTGCGAACAGTGTAGCTAGCGGCCGCAGAAGCACTGAGCATGCGAAGCGTGCGAATCGTGTAGCTAGCGGAAGCAGCCACGTGCCACAGAAGCACTGAGCACGCGAAGCGTGCGAATCGTGTAGCCACCACCACGTGCTGAGCACGCGAAGCGTGCGAACAGTGTAGGTAGCAGACACGATCAGTACGAGTAGCAGTAGCAGCCGCGCGCAGAAGCACTGAGCACGCGAAGCGTGCGAATCGTGTAGCCACCTAGCCACAAGATTAATTGTGAAGCGCATCCAGCGACATGTAATTGAAGCTGAGATTTTGACTGGGTCGGGTGCAGGAGAACCGGTGTACATACCGAAAATACCCACGACATCCACCAATTATTTGCCATTCCAACTTCGACGTGTCCAGTTCCCACTCCGTGTCTGCTTTTGCATGACCATAAACAAGTCCCAAGGGCAGTCCCTGAAGGTTGTTGGTTTGGACCTAACAACACCATGCTTTGCTCATGGCCAGTTTTATGTGGGTTGCTCCCGGGTAGGTAATCCAGACAACATTCACATTTTGTGCAATGACGGCAAAACGAGAAAATTTAGTCTGTCCCCGGGGAAAATTGCGATTCCGCGGCCGCGTTTTTTTCCGCGTTTTGTGCGATTTTGTAAAAGACCGCGTTTTCCGCGATTTTCCCGCGTTTTTTGAACTTTTTGTTGCATTACACGTACACACAGTGCACTGTTCGATCAGCAACGTCTCACGGTGCCGGCCTTTTACTCAAATATGACGAGTGATTACACCAGAGACTTCTAACTGATTGATTTCACTACATACTCACTGAAAATTGCCGCATTCACCGCATATTTACCGCAAATTCACCGCAAATTATGCCATATTATGCCGCGTTTTTCCCCGCGTTTTTTGCGATTTTTTCCGCAATTTTCCCCGGGGACAGTTTAGTTTACCCGGCTGCACTACAGTGACTGCACGTCTGCGGGTGTGCCGCAGTACTTTGCCGACGATTTGTTGTCATGGCTGACTAATCCCAATAACTGAGAACTCTATACGTGATTCCATTCACTCACCATGCTGCGCATTACTGTTCGCATTATTGTTCGAGGATGAAGCATCCCATCATCCCATATCATGGCATATGCTGAACACAAGTGCACTCTCTAATAACTGAGAACTCTACACGTGATTCCATTCACTCACCATGCTGCGCATTACTGTTCGCATTATTGTTCGAGGATGAAGCATCCCATCATCCCATATGCTGAACACAAGTACACTCTCTATGTCCAAGCTGCCACATGTACATGTACGTACATGTCTCAACATGCCTAAGGCACAATTTCCCAATAATTGGATAAGCCTTCACTATTGTAAATCTCAGTTCTATAAGTATCTGATAAACAACTACCCGGTCATGCGGTGTTACACAGCAATGTGCTGTTCATGTACTTGCTTCACCCGCATGCCACGTTCGGCCAGGCAACGCTGGCCGGGTGCTGCTAGTTACTTATAGAAGAGGCACCTGTGAGGTGTGTTTGTGTGTGTGTCACGCAGAGGCGCTGCGGAGCAGCGCTGCCCTAGGCCCTGAGCACGCGAAGCGTGCGAACAGTGTAGCTAGCGGCCGCAGAAGCACTGAGCATGCGAAGCGTGCGAATCGTGTAGCTAGCGGAAGCAGCCACAGCTAGCTGAAGCACTGAGCACGCGAAGTAAAGCGTGCGAATCGTGTAGCCACCACCACGTGCTGAGCACGCGAAGCGTGCGAACAGTGTAGGTAGCAGACACGATCAGTACGAGTAGCATGCTACTGCTATAGCAGTACTACCAGTAGCATGCAGCCGGCCGCGCGCAGAAGCACTGAGCACGCGAAGCGTGCGAAGCGTGTAGCCACCTATAGCCTAGGCCATAGGTAGCACTAGCAGCCGCACAAGCGCTGCGGACCACGTGAACCGTTCTCTGCAGCAAAAGGATACAAAAGATCTGCACTGACTGCACTCTGCATCTGATCTGCAGTGAAGAGCGCATCGCACTTTTGTTCGTAAGTTTATGAATGTTTTGAGCCGCTTCATCCGCCACCAGGTGATGGACAACCCTGACCAGCCACCCGAAGGCGTAACAGACGTCCCTCCTTCTCCTTCCAACGATGAAGAACCTCCCTCACCAGGACTTCAGCGGTCTGGGAAAAGACGCCGCCGGTCCTCATCAATAACGTCGTCCGACGATCAAGAGGCCATTGCCCGCAGACGCGAACAAGCCAGGGTTCGAAAGCAGAGGGAAAGGTCAAAGGAAACTGAAGAACAGGCTGATCGCCGCAGACTTCTAAATCGTCGACAAACTGCTGCGACACGCTCTCAGGAGACGCATGAACAAACTCAAGAACGTAGAGACCGTAACTGCCGCCGAGCTGCTGAGGCACGTTCGCATGAGACACCTGAGCAGGCAGACCATCGCCGAAGTCAAAGCCGTATGCAAGTTGCCAGAGCGAGGTCACTCGAGACGCAAGGGGACACGGAGGTACGAAGAAGCCAAAATGCGCAGCGGGTGGGAGCACCCCCGGATGAAAATGCATCCGCCACAGGGCCAGATCCCCACGAACAGCCTATGGCCACTACGAGAGCAGGTGAGGGTACTGGTAATTTCACCCGTAACAATTACATACAGACCATTAAACCAGATATCTGGGGTAAACTGGGCTTCCATTACGACAACATTTGGACTATCCCACTCACAGGTCCATCACATAGTCATTAGGTGGCATGAACGTCCTGTGTAAGCAGCGTGCGAATCGTGTAGCTAGCGGAAGCAGCCACAGAAGCACTGAGCACGCGAAGTCACGGCTGTTACGTAGATCACAAAATCGGACATTCAAAATGGCGTCATTTTTTTGAAACTTTTTGAATTTTTGAACGCGACGGCCCCCAGAGAATAGCTGAGAATTGCATTTTTCACGTTGGTATCCAGGCCATTTTGGCTCCCATCGTCTCCCATCGACACGGTTTACCATACAACCACGATTTTCGTCCAGGGGAAGCTTCAAGGAACGCATTGATGCCTTTTGGATCGTCTTTCCCAAGAGGCGACAGGTTTCTGTCGCCATGTCGCCTCCACGTCCTTTGTTCTTTCGATTCCCAAAACTGCTCTACTTTCATTGCTGCCTACATCCCGGCTCCGAGTTTTCGCAGCTGCTTGCTGTGTTTTTGGTGGCCCTAGAGACCTTCTATAGCTCGAAAATCGCGCTCTTGTCCCAGATCGTGCAAAGGAAGTCTCGATCGCGCATCGACATTTTAGCCTTGTTTGTTGCTTTCTGCTCTGCGATGGAGCACCACTCGAGTATTCTTGAATCCGTGTGTCGCATTGGTGGGCAAAAACTTGCCAGTGCTAGTCACAAAACTCCATATCCGGTGAAGAATTATGTTGAAGAGATCGCCAAAGTTTTTAAAATTGATGTTTCCAAAGATTCCCCTGACGTGCATCCCCAGTACATGTGCTCACTTTGTCAATTTGCTATTGCACGTTCAATGAGAGATGACACATATAAGTATTGTAGTGGGGGCTGCAATGGCCCAGTTACATGGCAACCACATACGAGATCTAACTGTGCCGTATGTAAGAGTGATGCTGTACGAGCCAAGGGCGGCCGTCCACCGAAACGGAAAGCCGTCAGTGAACTGCGTGGCCAAGCGGCAAAACGACAGACATCAACGGCATCAACATCAGCAGAACTGCCAGAAGGCAGTCCTAGCTCTCAGCAAAGACGCACCAGCAGCAGTAGCAGCGGTGACACCAACACAGTAGCACACACCACTGATAGTCAAACATCCGCAGTTACTTTGGACGAGATTTCGGCGCACGCAGCGCCTATGTATCGGGCTGAAGCAGCATTAGAGAAAGAGCGGTTTATTGACAGTGGAGCTGTGCAGGAATGCATGATATGTTTGCAAGTGGTAAATGGAGCAGTTCAAGCCAAATGCTGTGAAAATATATTCTGCTCAACATGCGTGCACACGTGGATGAAGAGTCACAATACATGTCCAGTATGCAGACAGCCAATGGCACTGGCGACACTGCAGAAGCCATGCAAGCTAGTGTGCAATATGGTTAGCAAGTGGGGTGTACATTGTGACTTCCATGAACCAGCATTGTCAGGTTGCCCCGCAACCGTTCGAAGCATGAATTACGAGGTCATGTCACATCATGTCCGTTCAATCCATCCACATCCTCAGGAACGCCCATTCGTACTGCAACCAAAGCTGCAACAGTGGAGGAGATCTTAGCAGCGTCACCATCAAAGCTACGGGGCGATGTGAGTGACAGACTGACCTGTCACCTTGTGTCCGCCAAAGCAGAAGATGGGAGGCTGGAAGTGAAAACCAGCAGCCAAGGAAGACCGCAAGTTTTCATGCGAACAACAGTTGGCAGCAAGCAGCCGGAGGAGGCATCAGCCAGGACGCTGAAACGACGGTCACTGGAAATGGAGCGCATCACAGAGACAGTTTGCACCACAGCAGATGCAACACGGCATGGCGTTGCTGGACTTGGCGCTACCAGCATCAAACCACCTTCAGGCACTGCCCTTGCCATGAAGGCCGATCTAAGCCTTCCTTGGGCGCAACTCCGGAAGCTGCGCAGATGGCTCCGCTCCTTCGGAGTTCAGCTTGAATCGGAGAGAAGCATTCGCTCATTCATCGCCACCACCTTGCCGAAATACACAGTGAAGCAGCTCCCCTTTGTCAAGCGGACTGGCGAGTTGTCACTTGCTGCAGCTGTCTACTTTCCAAACCTAACCGACATCATTATCCACTACCTCGACATACTTGACAGCGGCAGTAAGCTGACATGGCATGATGGCGCCATCCCAGAAACGGAGATATGGGTCAAGCTGGGCGGTGACCATGGTAAGACAACATTTAAATTCGTGATGCAAATCGCCAACACCATGCATCCAAACTCACTCGCCAACACTGTGCCAATCTGCGTGTTTGCAGAGAAGGACTTGCCGGCAAACCTGGAAACTGCACTCTCAATGTATCGGAACCAAATTGCAGAGCTACAGGGCCAGAAATGGAAAGGCAAGACCATTGTGCCTTATCTGTTTGGTGATTACGAGTACCAAACCATGAACTACGGCTTGTCGGGTTCCAGTGGCGTAAGGCCTTGCCTCCATTGCTTGTGCACGAAGAAAGACATGCAGGTCCCACCAGCGAACCGCGACGTACAGTATGGAGCACGGTCCTTAGAGAAGATGGCGGAGGACTATGCACAGTTTACTAGCGCAGGTGCTCTGCTGTCAAAGGCAAAGCTGTATAACAACACCATCCGACCAGTCCTATTGCCAGTGCCCGTTGCGCGCGCCATCATTCCAGTGCTGCACCTGGACCTCGGTGTATTCCCGTGGATCTTTGATGTATTCACACGCGAGGTCCGTCTTCTGGACATGCAGCTTGCAGAACAATGCGACGCTGAAGAGCAAGACAGTGGACGGTTTAGAGCCTTGTCAACTGCAAATCACAAGTTGTCTGGCTGCAAAACAGCGTTCTCGGAAGCAACAGCGAAAGCCACCGCTCTGGAGAATCATCTGCACTTCATCGTCTTGTTTGGCCAGCAACAGGGCATGGCGATAGAAGCACTCGCAGGCGTGCTACAACGGGAGGTTGAGCAAGCACAGGCCGACACAGAGCAGTGTAGCTCGCAGCTGAAGATTGCTGAAGCCGAACTGGCCAAGTTGCGCCGCAGCAAGGATGTTCTCGGCCCGTGCGAAGCGTCCATAGAGCCAGTACTGCAGAAGAACATTATCCATCGGCAGGCCTATCACGGCGGTGCTTTTGTAGGGAACCATATCCACCGTGCCCTCAAGCCCGCCGTGATCACAGCTATCACTGAGGCCCCAGCAATTGTCATTGGAGATCGGTGCCCAGCTCTGCAGAATGACGCTCAAGTAGTCAGTGAGCGGTACAAGTCCCTGTTCAGCCAGTACGCAGCGTGCAGATCTTCCTTCAGCCATTGCAACAAATGTGGAGAGGAGGAACTGCAGCAATTGGAGCTCTCCATTGCCTCGTTCTTACAGAAATGTCGGAGCGAGGTGGTGGAGATTGGCTTAGGTCACATCACTCCAAAGCTGCACCTCCTTGAGGAACACACTGTGCCGCTGATGCGGAGAGTGCACGTCGGGCTTGGTCTACTGTCGGAGCAGGGCGCGGAAGGAATTCACGCCGAGTTCAACCTGCTCGAGAAGAGATACGGTTCCATTCCCGGCGAGCTTGAGCGCCTGCATGCTGTTGCAGAACAACACCTCGTATGCACCCTGCCAGACGTTGCAGATCAACGGCCCAAAGTTCGATCGAGGCAGCGGACTGCTCCATCGCAGGCAGATCAACCAGCCAGTCCGCCATAACACTGACTACACGCAAAGCCAGAGAGGTAAGGTCTAACTCTAACTGTTCACTTCTACTTCCTCCAATAATAATTCTTCTTGATGTTTTCGACAGCAAGACTTCTGTTCTTACTTCCTTGTCGTTTCAAAAAATATTTGGGTTTAGACCGACTTTACCGAAAGAAAGTACTAAATCCGGCGAAATTATATAATTCTATACATTTTGTACTAAGTCGAAAGGATTTCAGTAAATCCGCAGCGATTTCAAACTTTTCGCCGCCATCTTGTTAGATGTCCACTGCGTAACAGCCGTGAAGTGTGCGAATCGTGTAGCCACCACCACGTGCTGAGCACGTGTGCTGTTCATGTACTTGCTTCACCCGCATGCCACGTTCGGCCAGGCAAAGCTGGCCAGGTGCTGCTAGTATGATACTAAATTATGTGAATCTTTCGAAAATCTACGATGTGAAAACATCGTACGTTTAGAGAATTTGAACAAGATCGAAGGGGAAGAGTGATTCCTTTGTAATGAACTGCGAATCATGCAATTCCATTACCATGTGTGTGCGTTTGTGTGCATGTGTGTGCGTTTGGGTTTGGGTTTGTGTGTGTTGTGTGTGTGTGTGTGTGTGTGTGTGTGTGTGTGTGTGTGTGTGTGCGTGCGTGCGTGCGTGTGTGTAGGTGTGTATAGGTGTGTGTAGGTGTGTGTGTGTGTGTGGGGGGGGGGGGGTGTTTACGTGTCTGTGGGTGCGTGTGTTGCCGCTGCAACACAACGTTAGCAAGGATAAGGTAGACTAGTCTCTTACGGACAGAAACCTCGCCAGCTGTTCTAGCCCATTGCGCATAGCCAAAATAATATGGAAGGTACGAGTAATGCATGTGAGTACACTGGCATCAGCAATGCACTGTTCGCTGTTCAACACCCCAGGCGACCATGCCCAGGTGGCTGCGTGGGGTGTTCATGGTACAAATTACGTCATTAATGGGTATATTGTTTGTTTCGCTGTGTCTGTGTTTGCAGCTAAGCACGTGTCGACGATGACTGCCCCTGAGCTGCACCACGGCAAGCGTAGTCACCACCAGCAGCAGCAACAGCAGAGTAGTAGTAATGGCACGTGGACAGGGCCCACTGAGCACACGTCCGAGCGACGCAACAGCGGCAGCAGCAGCAGCGGCAGTGGCGGCGGTGCCTCGACTGCCGCCAACGGCCGTGGTGTGCGCGCGACGGACAAGCAGAGCAGCGGCGGTGGCCTGCTGTCGCCCGATGGACAGCGACGCAGTACGTAAACACAACCCTTGTACATGTACAGTGCGTATCGCCTATAGGGTTGGCAGCTACTGTATATTAGTGAACGGGCTAGGTAAAAATGGTGACTTAGGACCCGACCCGTTCACTATATTATTATTTTATTAAGCAGAAATATTCGTCTGAATTTAATTTCGCCTTTTCGTCCAAGGAGCTTTTGGACTAAATTAAATGCCGGACTAATGTCGATTTGCCCAGCTTTTCAATACACTCTTGTGATCCGTGGACGAAATTTCCACCCGGACCAACTCCATTTCTTTGGAGTTGGACGAAATTATTGACCGACGAAATGTTCTGGCTGTACAGAATCAAGAGTACATAACCCCCCAGAGTGTGCAACGCCTGATCCAGCTCTGCATAGGGTCTTAGTCGAGCGTAATCGGATCTTTGCGTCATAATACCGTACACATCTGAGGGGAACCCGGGGAGTCGCGGGTACTCTCGGATCAAAAACAATGGTGCCCTGCCTCGAGACCGGCCTTGCGCTGGTGTGGAGTGTACACATGACATCAGAAGATCCGATTCCGCTCGACCAAGACCCTATGCAGAGCTGGGTCGGCGTTGCACACTCTGGGGGGTTATGTACTCTTGACAGAATGTAGTAAAATACCGGCCTTTAAGTGATCATTCATTTCCATTTTATACCATGACTATGATCAAGAGTACATAACCAAGAGTGTGCAAATCGACGATCCCCCAGCCCATTGCGGAAATTTTTTATGACATCAGTCTTTGGCGGCTGTTTGGCTCGCTGATGCCATCATGCGTAGCGAGAGATCAAAGTACAAAGAATTTGTACATCACAGCTACGGTAGTCGAAGCAGAACAACGGACGATAGATCGATGTGTCCTGAACCTGGTGAACTCTCACCGTATTTACAAAAAATGTGCGGGAAAGCATACGCATTTGATCATACTTCTGCCAAAGAACGATGCAATACAAAAATTCCGCCGTGGGTGAACCCATCGCAGCTCGGGATAGGAGTTGCACACTCTTGGTTATGTACTCTTGTTATGATTGAAAGCAGGATCGTGGTTTGCCGTGAGTGCCCAGGGCTGGATAGAGAAATGTACTTGTGCATATGGAAGAGAAAGGATCCAAGTCTCTGTGCCCATGCGTATCAAGCACTCTTCAGCCTCGGGCAGTTTGCCAGTTTGCCAAACCTTTTCTCTATAAACTAGAGAAATGCATGTGTATGTGTGTTCATGTGTGTTTGACTGTTCGCACTTATGTGTATGTGTGTGCATGTGTATGCATATGTGTGTGTTTGTGTGTGTGTTTGTGTCTGCGTGTGCATGTGTATGCGTGTGTGTTTGCACGCGTGTGTGTTTGCACGCATGCGTGTTCGTCTGCACGTGAACAGACGAGCCGGTCGTGCGCTTCAAGCGCAAGTACGCCGGCCAGCAGCTGGAGGTGACGTGCAACGGGCAGCGCGCCATTCTGGACGTGGACAACCTGCCCGATGCCGTGGGTTCCATGATGCACGCCAAGCGCCAGTGCGTCGAGTACAACGGGCGCATGATGACGCCCACCGAGTTCGAGACGGCCACGGGCTACGGCTCGCGCAAGAACTGGCGCAGCAGCGTGCGCATGGGCAACCAGTCCATGAAACAGATACTGGACTCGCTGTGCAACGAAGAGTTCTCCTTCAATGTAGACTCCGAGGTAAGCTTCCACAGTCACTGGTTTTAAGGACTGCAGTTGCCATGCATACTGATTCAACACTGCAGTTTATTTTTGTTTATTTTTTTCACCTTCCCATGGGCAGGGAATAGAGGCCAATATGGAGGGAGGGGGTAAGTGCGATGGATATTGGTTAAAGACTGCAGTTGTCATGGATACTGGTTAAAGACTGCAGTAGAATGGTTTCTGGTTGCCGTACTAGCTTTGTTGTAGGACAGGTATTGTAGTGAAATGCTACCCAATGGCCAATGGAGCTTTACACTTGGTTCAAAATCTGGTAACGTATTAAAAAGAATGAAGTTTGCACATGCGCATCACCACCGATGAATTTGTTTCTTCTGCCTTGCCGTGTGTGTGTGTGTGTGTGTTTGTGTGTGTGTGTGTGTGTGTGTGTGTGTGTATATGTGTGTGTGCGTATGTATGTGTGTGTGTGTGTGTGTGTGTATGTGTGTGTGTGTGTGTGTGTGTGTGTGTGTGTGTGTGCATGGATGTGTGAACATGCGTGTGCAGCAGCGGAAATCGGCGTTCAGCCCGGCGTCCACCTCCACTCAGAGCCAGAAGCACCAGCGCTCCTCCTCGGTCAGCACGGCTAGCAGCGTCAAGTCCCCCGTCGCTCATAGCAACGGTGTAACTCAGTCGTCGGCACCGTGCACCCCCGCCCAATCAACGCTGGCCACCGTGCTCACCTCGTTCTCCAACGATCACCTGCAGAGACGAGTTCAGACCATAGCCGTGCCCAGCAACGAGAACCCCAGCGCCAGCATGTCCGTTTCACCGACGGTGGCGGCGATACGAGGTGGTTCGCCGCACGCCTACGCCCCGTTGCCAAGCTCCTCGGCCCTGCCGTCATCACGACAATCGTCCCCGCCCTCATCCCGCGCTCCGCAGCAGCAGCAGCGATCGCGCGAGGGGAGCAACGGGACGGCGCCGGGCAAGCCGGCCGGCCGCGCCAACGGCTCTCTATCGCCAGGGCAACGCGACCGGCATCACGGTCACAATAGCAAACGCTCTCGCTTCTCGAAGACGGGCGCGGCCGAGAACGGCCTTCCGGACCTGATTCCGGCTCGTTCGGCTCAGCGCACGCCGTCTAATGATTACTTCTCTCCCCAGGAGTCTTCTGCTGCTAGTTCGGACAAGTCGTCGCGATGGCCAGGTGTTGACCTGAAGAGGTCCCCGCCGATCAGACTCGAGTACAGCACAGGTAGGTGCGGAGGCTCTGTTACCATGGGAACAACTAGCTACAAACAAAATTAATTGTCTTGTATGACTTTACAATAGGGTTTGGACTTTGAAAGTGCTATATGGGTCAGCCAGCCCAGAGTCATGGCAGCGCTGACTTTTCGATCCACTTGGATCCATGTGTTTATATGGATGATGCAGGTTTGGGTGGTTTCCGTCGACAGTAGGGTGACACATCCACCGGTAGTAACTTGCCTGGGCGCTCCCACTCATGGTACAGACAAATTCACACCAACATGCGGCACGAGGGGCCAACCCACCCGTATACGGTCAGACCTCGCTTATCCTTTCCTCGTTTATCTGGATCCCTCGCCGTCGGGAAGAAAATCGCTGGTTACAGATGTACAGCATATTCAACATAACCGGTGTTCGGTTATCCGGTTCCCTCCCCCTATCCGGATACAGTAGGTATCGGTTATAGCGTGGGTGTTTGAAAAACGACATTTGATTCTTATTCCCGATATTTCTTACACACGATAAATCACGTGTGACATATCATAATGCACGTGTGACATATATCATATGCACGTGTGACATAATCATATGCGCATGCGCGCACGTTGGCATGTGGACACGTACACATGATACACACGGATCATACTCGCGCGGTCGACCGGTCGTGCTAGGCGACTACAAATATAGACTGCGGAGCAGCAGATACGAGAGAAGTCGGAAGAAAGAGTCCGACTGGACAGAAAAAGTGATTCTCCAATGCGATAATTCTGCTTGTAAGAATAAATATACACATAAAATAGGTGTTATGATTATGAAAAAAATGAGTGTTCATTCCTGTAGGCAGTATATTCTTGTATACGACCAAACTATAACCGATACGCACTGTATTTTAGTGGAAAGCGGATGTGTGCGGTTAACCGAGGTCTGACTGTACTGTATTTTACTACAGGCAGAGCGGATCCAGTGTGACCCCGAAGTCGTTATTTGTTGACTTCTGACATCATCGCGTCCAAGCCCATATGATGCTTCATTTTGTGCACAAAACTCTGAGTGTGTTGCAGCTGTGCCCTGGTCCTTGAGGGGGATGATGTTCCTTTCGATGCGGAAAATTCAGTCTGATGAACTCTTGCGCGAGTCGTAGTTTGGCTTCTCTGAAATGTTGTTATCTCTGTACGTGTGTGTGTGTATGTATGTGCATGTGTGTGTGTGTGTGTGTGCGCACGCTCGTGTGTGCACGCATACATGCGTGTCAATATGCTGTACGTGTGTCTAGATGCGCGTGAGGACGGCATGTCCATCACAGTGTCTGCAGAGCCGGAGGACACGGATAGCAATGCACAGCTCTACATCATGGAGCCCGGTCCAAGCCACCAGATCGTCACGCCAGTTCATATGCACTGTAAGTTTGTCAGGGGCGTCGCACACGGTGCCGTCAATTGACCGTACCATTATTCGCCCCAGGTACCCCGTGAATCAATAGAATGTACTGATTTGGGCTCTAAATTTCCAAAACATTTGGCTCAGCCACCCCTCCCCCACGAGTAAATTGTACTTCCGATGGCTGACCGTACCACACTAAAATACCTCCCGACGCCCCTGTTGGTTATGCCGTGGTGCACAGCAATCAACGGGAGGATGTGGCTGTGGATGTGGCTGCGGATGTGGCCTGCACCTGACAAGCCTCACCAGCACTGTTGCAAAGCCGTTGACTATTTCTATGGTTCATCAGTGTGCTCTTTAGTGCTGCGCAACAGTTTCGTACCAGTTACGCAACTCTTTCATTCTCAGTCAGGAGCTTACAGTCCATTTCAAAAATATAGGCGCATGGCATTTTTGAAATATTTCAAATTTGGCTGGAGCCTTTCGAGTTCTTTTTTTCGGAATATTGCTCAGGCCCTTCCTGCAATTAATCCCATATAGATTTCCAAGCGATCGGATAGCAAACACCCAATTTCCAATTTTT